AGGGAAAGGTACGAGCATAGACTGCTTCTCTTTTTACAAGTGTTGTTGATATTACGTTTGCATGATTTAGTATTTAACTTTTGGATTGGTTGTATCGGGGTTTGCATGTACATTTCTGTGATTCATATAGGTGGCACAATCATCTGAATCCTTCCATTAACAAAGAGGCATGGAGTCAGGAGGAGGAACTAACTCTTATCCGTGCTCATCAAATTTATGGGAACAGATGGGCGGAGCTAACGAAGTTCCTGCCAGGGAGGTAAAAAATGTCTTCTTCATGTGTCCTTGCATTACGCAAAAGAAGTCTCCCTGAAAATGTGCTGGTCTCATATGAATAAATTTTTTGTTATCGCATTATCCTTAGGTCAGACAACGGAATAAAAAATCACTGGAACAGTTCGGTTAAGAAGAAGTTGGATATGTACTTGGCGTCAGGTCTTTTAGATCAGTTTCAGAGCTTGCCTCTCTTTCCCCCTCAAAACATGTCTAACCCTTCATCAGCTTCACGGGTGCAAAGTAGTGGAGATGAAGGTAGTACCAAACCTGGAGCTGATGCAGAAGAATCTGAATGCAGCCAAGGTTCAACAACTTTTGGTTGTTCACAATCTACTAATGGTTTACCTGATGAGGTGAAGCCTGTAAATGAGCAATCGTTCTTGTCTGAAATGCCATGTGGAATGGAGAAACAAACCTCTAAACCCACATCATCTGCAGAGCCACATTGCCCCACTTTTGATGACATCATGTTTATTGTCCCAGAAATTCCATGCGAAGCAGAATACTCAGCAAAGTTCCCAAATTCAAATTGCTCTCATGAGATTGAGACTTCTACAGCCATGGAACATCAGTTTAATTTGCAGGATGGATCTAAAGATGCTAAACAGGAGCTTGGTCAAGACTCGTCAAGGATGATGACTCATTGCATGGATGTAAAAGAAAGACATGAAGTGATTGGAATAGTTCAAACTTCAGTATTAAGAGCTTCACCTTCTATGCCAAGTCTGGATAAAGATCCTCCACCACAAACTCAACTATTGCTCACCGATGAGGGGTGCTGCAGGGTCCTTTTCCCAGATAACATGAAGGATGGGTGTACTTCCTCAGGGGCTTTTGAGCAAAGCTCAAGTGTAGTTAGCTTTCAAGAAAACAAGGGATCTTTTTGTCATCTGTCATCAGAAAACCAAGCTCATGAAACTGGAAACATTTTGGCTTCATCCTGCCATCCTACAAGTTTGGATGTCTTGGAAGGTGGTCGACATGTTGATTTGTTACTTACTGCAGACAAGGATTTGCGTTTAGACTGTAAGAAACCTGATCAAAGTTGTCACCTGATTGGAGCTAAAGAGTCAGAAGGTAAAAAAGATAGGGAGGCTGATTTCGTTCACACTGACAGGCCTGAAAATCCCCATGGTAATGGTGATTACGGTGGTAATGCAGATCTGCAGGAGCTATCATATATTCCGAAGGATTCCTTGAAATTAGTCCCCGTGGATAGTTTTTCTTCTCCTCCTAGAGTAAACCAGCTTTCGTTTCCTATTGATGATAAGCAAAATGGGAAAGACAAAGGCACTCTGTGTTATGAACCTCCCCGTTTTCCAAGTGCTGATATCCCTTTCTTCAGCTGTGATCTTGCACAATCAAGTAGTGATTTACAGCAAGAGTATAGTCCCTTTGGTATCCGCCAGTTTATGGTCTCCTCTATGAATTGTATGACTCCGTTTAGGTTATGGGATTCGCCATCTCGTGATGATACCACTGATGTCGTGCTTAAAGATGCTGCCAAAACCTTCAATGGTCCACCATCCATCTTGAAGAAGCGTCACTGTGATTTGTTGTCACCCTTGCTTGATAGAAGAAAAGACAAAAAGCTTGAACGAGGAGTAGCATCTTCCTTAGCTAAAGATTTTCCTGCGAGAGATGATTGCAAGTCCTCTCTCCTGTCTGAGTATCCTGACAATAAGAATAGGTGTGCCACACCTTGTGAAGGCAAAGAAAATAGGGGTTGTGAAACAGGTGGTTTAGGTCAAGAATTGGTTTCAGATGTTAAAGACCTGAAGGAAACCTCGGATTCTCACGATAAAGCTGAGGGAATGGTGTCTATAACAATTGTAAAGGCACTGAAAGAAGGAGATGTTTCAGTCCAAAATGTAAGTTTATATTTGTACTTTTGCATTTGCAATCTTTTTAGTAATTTCAACTAGATTCATTCCGTTTCTGATATCAGATATATGCTTTCGCTTTGACTGTCTGGCATGCATTTGCTGTGGTGCACAAAGTTAAAAGCTTATAGTTTATTTCATAAAATTGTTAGAATCTCATGGGACTTATAGCATGTTAGATCTAGATTTCTGTACTCTTTTTCCCAGTGATAATGACCTTGATTATTTTGGTGCTATTTCTTCAATGATCTTTAGAGCTTATGCTCTTACCTGCTCATCTTGTGTTTGCCTTTGCACCAGGACTGGGAAACTTCTGGAATTCTTGTGGAGCATAATGAAAATGAGCTTCAACAGTTTTCTCCTGACAAAAACATGAATTCTGGCACAAAAACTCCAACAAACATACACAAAAGGTCCATAGGTATCCCAAGGCAGGGAATTCCATCAGAACTTCCTTGCACTGCAGAATCCATTCCCTCATCCGCAACCAAAGGGAATAAGACTGACACTGCAGAGAACAACATAAATTTTGAAAATCTTGGAACGTAAGTTCGTAAATGTTTTTTTTCCCGTGATTTATATCGATAGTAGTGTCGGATGTTTCTTATGTTTGCTTGAAAATCTCTATTTCATTTCCAGATTCAATGGAACGCCATTTAGAAAAAGTCTAGAATCTCCTTCTGCATGGAAGTCTCCTTTGTTCTTTAGTTCTTTCTTCTCAAGCCCAAGGTTTCCCACCGAAGTGGCACTTGAGGTAAGTTAGTATAACATCTCCTAGTGTTATTATAGTTTCTGAATGTTCTTCTCCTTTCCATATCGAAGCTCATTTCGATGGTAACACGCATTCGTTGGTACTTTCTTTCCAGGGTTTTGGATACTTTTTGAGCCCCGGGGAGAGAAGCTATGATGCCTTAGGACTGATGAAACATTTGAGTGAACATACAGCGGCAACATATGCAGATGCTTTGGATGTTTTGGGTAATGACACTCCCGAGACGATACTCAGCAAAAGGCAACAGAGAAAGTCTACTCATGGTAAAGAAAACCGGCACCAGCCTCGTGATCAACCGGGAAATCATTCCCATGTCTCGGATTCAACCATTACAGTATGCATCACAAACCCTTTTTTCCACTTGTTCTAGGTGCTTAATTTCTGCAAATTGGAGAAACAAATGTCACAAAAAGATGGTTGCTTTTCCATGATGGCATTTGTGGTTCATCTTGATCTTACAAGTTACATCATTGTTCTAATGAAAGCTCAACACTTTTGGTTCAAGAACATAGAGTTAATACTTTTTGTTATGCGATCTTATACTCTCGTAAACAGTTTATTCAGAACCGGGTTGTGGAAATGGCTGTGCAGGTGGAACGGAGAACGCTGGATTTCAGCGATTGCGGGACACCTGGAAAAGCAAAGGCTTCCTTCTCGGGTTCCTAGGCAGATTAGATACTCGATGTCCTCATCTTACCTCTTGAAGATTTCAGATAGAAAAGGATGCTTTTTGTTCATAGCTCAGAAAAAAAAAAATCTATTCTTGCCCATTCAATTTGTAGATTGGCATCTTCCTTTTATGTGTAATGTCTTTTTCATAATCCCCCTCTTGGTGTCTCTGTATCCGCAGCTCTTCACCTTTTGGGAACTGATACAATTGATTTCCAACAACACTGGAAAAAAAAGATTATATTCTTTTCATGAGGATCAGTCGTTCATCATCATGGTGAGTTTCAAGTAATTATGTCTTGTTGTACAAGAAACAGTACATATCAATGATTCCGTACCCAAAAAGACCCTCAATTTTTGGTAACTTTTAGGCATCACATATTATTCGCCCACCGACGAGATAGATTCAGGTACGTCGACAATGAACATCTGAATTCGAATGTCAGACGATGAAAATCCACATTACGTATACCCGTGGGCCACGGACCGTGGCTGAGCTCGTCTAGGGTTCAGCTCAGGATTTCGTCGTTCAGACGCCTTGCATCATCTCGTCCCCGCCTTGTCTTGCTCTCCTCCGTTTATCGTCTCTCTCTTTCTTCACCTCTCCCTCTTTTGCCCCTCACCTCCTTCGCTCTTCGTCTATTATTTTTCTCTTTCCTCATCCTCACTCTTATCAAGACAACCCGAGGGTATCCCAACATTTGGAACACCTCGTGGGTACCCTAACAACTTGAGTCTGGCGACAGGTTCCGAATCCTGGAACCCGAGAGACTTGAATTCAAGATCAAATCACCCAAAATCTCGGATACCCGGTTCACATCCAATTCTATCCACAACAACGACGTTTATGATAATGAGCATTCTAGAAAAGGATCTGAGTATTGAGAATGGATTACCAAATAACATATGGTGATTGGATAATTCCATAATCATCAAAACCGACAATGCCCCCACCAAAAAATGCAAAAAAAAAAACATGGGGAATCCACTGTATGCATATCTACAAGGCGCAGGCTATGTTTTCTCAGTTACAGCCTATTGACACTACTTAGTTTCAGCTTCTCTGGCTTCTCCTGTCATCAGTCATATGATTGGTTCCATGTCAAAGAGAGAAACTGACCTGTCAAATAGCTTGTCCGACGAGCTATGTGAGCACCTCATTAGGAAGATTCAATGTCCTCAGCAGCTAGGTTACACAGTTGTCTGGTCCAATCATCGTTCCAAAAAATCATGATGGGCCGTCGTTATCCACTGCATTCCTTGGGGATGTCAAGGAGGAGATGAGAATTCCAAAGGCAGCATGTAATCCGATACTCTTCTTTCAAGAATCACACGCTAGTAGTAAGAGTACGAGTCACCTGAGGCGTTTCTTTGTAAACATCGAGCTCATCTTCTTCATCGGATGATAACAGAGATGGTCCCATCCACACCTTGAATCAGTCGTTGATTCTTCTTTCAACTTCTTGTGTGACTTCCAAAGGTTTAGCTTCAAACATCTCCAGCTCGAGATTCTGGTTACCAAACTCTCCCCTCGTCAAGAATCACTGCCGCTTTCCTTCTAAGGAAGAAATCGGTTCCACCACATAAGACAATTAAACCCCACGAAGAAATCTTGTAGCACCAAAACAATGGCAGAGAACAGCTATTGCCCAATGTCAGGAGGATTGAACCAAGAAACAGAGCAAGGAGACCAAAACCAAATACGACAGCGAAGACAGCATTCAGAACTGAGAGACAGCGAACTCCATCCTTGAAATTAAGAAAGGATTAGAGAATGCATAACTGATAAAGAATCCAAGCTTTGATAGGATCAGATTCCGGCAAGCAAGATTGAAATCAGCAGTTCTTTTTTAATCGATTATTATTTTCGGGTATAGATCAGGCATAGACACAAAGAATGTATAGGTGACATATAAGAGAAAAGCTGACATTAGAAAGACATGAAACTATAACAGGCATATCAAATACAAACACTACTACAGGAAACCAAATAGCCCTTATGGAGTGAGTATAGTATACCTCTTCTCGAAGAACAGTAATTATTTTCGACTACTTTTAGACATTCAGGACGAGAAGGAGCAGAATAAGCCACATCAGTTCCTGAAACGTTGAAAAAACAAAGAATGCGGAACTTAGAAGTACGAAATATCCCATGCACACCAACTCAAAATCCTGAAGGAAAAGCGAGTAATAGAAGCATTTTACGATTTTTAGAAGACATAGGCAGAGAAAGCCAGAACTTTCACAGCTATAACGGTAAGACATCACAATGATTATGCATCTGGGAATCTTTGCAGGACGGTGTTAAAGACAGGATCGTAGGGTCTTGTCTGTATCAGTCCAATGACTCCAATCTACACAAGGGTTGCATTTTTACAACTTCTTAGATCATATTCTCTGATAATACAGACGACATAATGCTCCAAAACGGAAAGGGTACTTTCTTTCCTCATACACCAAATATGATTAGGATCTCATCTAACAAAACCTACCCGAGGAACTAACTGAGACAATGTGAGCAAATTTGTTCAATCCCAGAGTCTCTTATCCCTGAAAAAGATTCATCAAAGTCCAAGGAAATGCTGATTTTCTAAAAGACTGAAACTCGGAAACAAAACAGAGGAACACTAATTCCCACACAAGTAAACCCATCAATGCTAACATTGACTTTCATCAAAAGTCACTGACATCTTGAACTGATCTAACAGCCATTTGGGCTTTGAGGGCATAACCAATCACCTCTCTAACTGATTTTTTCACAACAATCAACAAATTTAGAAGCCAAGTTTTAAAATTCGCAAAAATAACAAAGAGACAAGTCATCTAAGCTCGTGTAGAGTCGAGCATTGTACCTCAGAATCTCAGATGAATGAAGAAACCCAACGGGAAATTCCACCTCTAGATAATCAGGGAACGAAATAAGCCAAACCCAAAAACGATTCTAACCTGCTACAAGATAAACAGCTGATACAAGGAAGACTATCGTCGAGGGTACGAAAACGACCATCCAGTAGTAATCCGCAGTTTCTTGATCCGTCAAGTAAAAAGCACTGGAAAACAGATCTGAGTCGCCGGATTTGCCATTGATGGACAATGACAGTAGCTTCTTGTCACTGCAAAATGGCCTCTTCAGAACATCCGAAGGAAACACGATTTTCAAGCTGACGACCGTGCACGTGAAGATAACGAAGCAAATGAAGCCCACGATCGCCATTAACATGGGCTTCTGAAGCTTAATCCAAGCTCTATCCTCCTCTCAGGCTCTCGTACTCGTGCTTCGGCATAAACGCCTGACGCAACGCGTCTCCGATAGTCGCCATTGACGAGGGAACCAAAAAACCCTAATCCAAAACCTTTCACCCGGTGCTTTTCCTGATTCCCGAAAACTCCAAACAAAGATTTAAAAATCTATGCAAAACCCTATATCAAGGGATTTAGCAGAATTCAAAGAAGAATCAATGAATCTGAAAGACGAGTAAAAAGATTTCGAATTTCGCGGATGGAAGGAGAAATGGTGATGCAGGAACAAATGGCGCGTGTAGGTTACGGTGCCTGCCGTTGGACGGGCATAAACAAACAACACACACGACCAGATTCGGCTATCTTTTTATAATTACAGAAAGACCCTATAGTTTCAAAACAATAACAAATGTGCCCACTAAATCTATAGTTGACTTTTTATAATTAATAATTATAAAATTATATATATTTGAAATTTTAATTATATTGTAATTATTTTTATTCATGTAGTTTAAATCATCCAAAACAATCCAATTTTATTTATTTCGAATTGAATTTAAATTGAATGTTTTATTTAAAATTATCTATTTTCTAAAATATTATTGTATTCATTTCAAACTTTTGCACTACAATCCTATTTAGTTCAAATTTATTTTTATTTTAACTACTATTATTGAGATCGATGAATCGATGAATATATTATTTAATTTTATTCTATCACACATATATGTATATGTTAAATCGTACAAAAATGAAAAAACAAAGTGAAAACTCTAGCCACCAGCCACGTGAGTCCCACAATCATAAACATATACGCAACATAAAGTTCCAAATCCATTATAATGTTAAAAGCATAGCGGCTTCTCACCGTATATTTGGAACGCATACGGGTTATAATATGACTTCGTATTTTATTTTTAATTTATTTATATCACTATTCCAAAAATATTATAATGAAAAGATTAATTAGTTTCAATAATTCCTTTTTTGTCGCTAAACCATACATAATTTTATAACTTTTTGGTCAACTCGAACTAACGAATATGTTTTTAAAAAATTAAACAATGAACAAAAATTAGCTGGCAACCTTGCAAATATTGACATTTAGTTGAAAAATCAAATTAAATATAGCAGGTTGAAAGCGTTCTTTGTGACAACTTTCCCATTCAAAAGGGTGGTTTAATAAATAAATATAATCGAAACACAAAATGGGAAACGGGAAATATTTTTATTTGAGTTAAAAAAATATTAAGTTCAATTTAATTTACATAAAATTGTTAGATAAGAAGCCATTATATATATATATATATGTTTTTTTTTGCATGTCAGATAGCTATTTGATATTTTACTATTTGGATAACAAATTAATGGACCTACTAATAAATCATCCTCGGTGACGTCGTATATCTCATCGGGGGCAACTTCTGTTTTACACTCAATGTGCTACATCAACTTCCACTCATACCCTCCCCTTATTAAAAAAAAATTCCAACATCTAATATACCCTCTTCTATAAATAATGACCAAAACACCCTTTTATATTTAATTTTTTATTAAAAAAATATCCCCAAAATTAGGGTAAACGCGGTCTCTCTCCTCTCTCTTTCCGGTGTCTCTCTCCTGTCTCTCTCTCCCTCATCGACATTGAGCTCTCTCTCTCCTACACTTTCTCTCTCATCTCAATCTTGCGATTTTTTCTCCAAAATCAGTAGAAATCAAAGCAAAATCAGTGGAAAATTGTTGAAGAAGTTGAAAACAGATAAGAAAATGTGAAAATCTCATTTGTTTCTACCCACATTGATGGTTGTCGGTGTTTATATGATGAACAGTGATGCTTCTTCTACCTTTTTTCTTCTAATTGTTGACAGTTTTGAAGTTTTATCTTTTGTAGTATAGTATAGTCATAGATCGGGGTCGGATCTGGACTTTAGATGTTGTTTCTAGAGTATCACTAAACACAAATGTCGGGTCACAGTAGAGAGGAGTTGGTGAGATGGCCACACGGTCACACGATCACAAAGTGACATGCTCATTAACATAACGGTTGGCATATGTTTCAAGAATGATATGGTACTATTTTCACATGGTCACATGGTACTATGTTTACATGGTCACATGGTACTATATTACAATAGTCACATGAGACTATGTTCACATGGTCACATGGTACCATGGCCGCATGGTCACATGGTCACATGATTCATAATAGTAGGATTGGTAATAATGGTTACAGGGTGAGGAATTCACATGGTCAAAATGTCACATGGTCACATGGTCCAGAATAGCCAGAATGATAATAATGGTCATATGGTCACATGGTCACATGGTCACATGGTATTATATTCATATGGTCACATGGTCACATAGTCCAGAATAGTTGAATTGATATGTATTTTGTATTTGTGCTTTCTACAGCTACGATGGACGGGCAAGATGAGAGATCGACAATTGTATACTTTCTGTATGATGGTAGGTGGATATTGAATAAAAACGGAGAACATGAATGGGAAGGAAAGTTCATGGAAAATCAAAGATTGTTGTTCTTTTGCCCCCCTGTGAGGTAACCTACAGTGACCTTGTTCGAGAGTTATGTGCTGAGATGAAGGTGGAGAAAGATAAAACGGAGATCAGGTTAAGTTATTTGCCAAATGTCAAGGAGAACAGAAAGCCGACATACGTATGGAATGACAAGCACGTTCATATTTATTTGTTGGATAAAATAAATGGATTGCGAGGTATGCTTTATGTGGAGATAGGAGAGTTACGTATGAAAACTGATGCTGAAGAAAACGTTGAAGAAGAGGCTATAATTCCTGCGGATGGTAGTGTTGTTGGAGGAAATGGGAAACGAGGTGTTGTAGACTATGAAGATTGTTTTATGTTGAGCCCAAATTTTAAGAGTAAAGTTGGGAGTAATAATGTGCCAGAAGTTATACATCTTTCTGATAGTGAACATTCAAGTGGACTTAGAGAAGTTATGGTGAAAGAGTGCGTTGGTTGTCATGATGATGATGATGATGATGATGGTGTTTTCTTACACTCCAACGCTTCGAGTTTAAGATCAATGCCGTACGCAACCTCCAATTACAGCCGGATCCAGCAAATTTACATCTTATTTCCCATAACTTCTTATCAGACCTCATCGTAGTATACCTAAAACGAGCCACAGCTGCACCCTTTCGAACATATTCTTGCGCTGCTTCCTTATCGTCAAACTCATGACCA